CACCCACACCCACACCCACACCCACACCCACACCCTGAACAAAATTAGTCGTTTACTACACGAAGAACGATGAAAGGAATATTCTGAAGACTTTAGAAAGTTAGTTATTAAACATCATCAAAGTGGTGAATCCATGGCAACAATTGCTGATTTACTTTTCATGCCAAAATCATCCGTTCATTTCATTATACAACAATTTGAGAAAATGAAAACTATCAAAAATATTGGTTTACCCAGAGGATGAAAGCGAAAAACAACAAAAGAAATTGATGACGCGATTGTCAATAAAATTCGTCTTGATAGAAAAAAAACATCCAAATCGATCCAAAAAGAAATAGAACAGGAATTTAGTATATCAGTATCAAGTAGATTGGTACGTCGTCGTCTCCAAGAACAAGGTTATCACAGTACAGTTGCTAAAAAGAAACCTCTGGTGACAAATGTTCATCGTTTAAAACGTCTTGGGTATTCTTATTCATATTTAGCAAAATCAATCAAATTCTGGGATCGTGTGTTATGGTGCGATGAAGCAAAATTTGATTTTTATGATTCTAATAGAAGACAATTAGTATGGACCAGAAGAGGAGACGATTTACCATCAAACTGTATTATACCAACTGTTCAACAAGGTGGTGGAAATATTGTAGTATGGGGATGTATGGGTAAGAAAGGTGTTGGTAAATTAGTTTTTTTAGAGGATAACATGACTGGATTAATTTATAAAAACATACTTGAGAAAAATTTATATGCATCAGCAAGAAAATTGGGATTATCAAAACATTTTGTGTTAATGGATGATAACAATCCCAAACATCGTTCAAAAATAGTTGTTGATTGGGTTCGATCTATGGGAATCGAAAAACTATGGAGGCCTTCTCGTAGTCCAGATCTTAATCCGTTGGAACACATATGGCTCTTCGTTAAGCGTGAATTACAAAAAGCTCCAGCTCAAAATTTAATAGAATTAAAAGAAAAAATTATCGAAATATGGAATTCGATTGAAGAAAAAACAACTGCACCTCTAGTTAATTCCGTACAAAATCGATTAAACGAATGCATCAAACAAAAGGGATTTCCTACAAAATATTGAAGAATTTTTTTATTTATAGAATTTGTTTAAACCCTATTGAAGTATAGAGAAAATTTATATTTTGAAGTTTTTTTCTTTTCCTAAAGATGATGTTTTCCATTTGAAATGTCGAAGATTATAGAACTCATGAACTACGAAATAAAATGATGTTTTGAAAGATTCCTATACAGATATGTAATAGAAGCACCATGAGCGTGAAGTAAAATTTTCAATAAAATACTTGTAGTATATTTACAGAGACTAGTTTTGCTTTCAGTTTTGAATAAGGTGTGTAGTTCTTATTGACTTATTATAATGTTTGTAATACAAGTTAAACCTTTAGACATGGCAATATTTGATAGTTTTTGTCGAAAAAAAGCCCAAAACGTTATTGAATTTAAGTAATTAGAATCTAGAATATCTTTAATATTGTAGAGCATCTACCACTCTTTTGAATGTTATATTTGAAAAATAATTTAGTTTGTACAGGACAAGAAATGAAGAGTTTCCATTAACGAGAAGTAAAATTTTTCGTAAAATAACCGTGATACTTCGTATAAAAGTTAGTTTTAAAAGTTATTAGTTGCCAGAATGTAGCTCGTCTTCTCCTCTTTCCATTGATATATAATTAGTCTTTTTTGAACATTTGTGGGAAAAAATAACTCAAATTAAAACATCGTCCAATCAAAACTGTCCAACCGAAATTACCTACTGCTCATTGTAACATATACAGTTCCTCTATAACTCAATATTTTTGGATGAAATTTTCTGTGGATATAATATAGATGACGCCTGTAATTTTAACTCAAGTCCTGCCTCAAAATCTAACTTTGAAAGAAAGTTATGCGCAAAACAAAATCGTCCAAACAATTTTGTCCACTATAGTACCTCGTAGATAATAGCCAATCTTTAGTGTTTGTAATCTGTGTGCGAATTAGTTAACCTTGGATTAATGAAATATATTTGTGCACTTTTTCTAATATCATACTCATATATAGTTTCATTCTAGATAAGTATAATCCTAGACGCACACTTACTAGTTTCCTGCTTAACTGAACAAAACCAAGACATTGTCGTCATAAATCACACCCTATGACTGCCAAATACACGACAAATAAACCTAGGTTCGCTCAACATCTGTATAGATTATTAGACAATGGCTTGACTGAAACTAAACATCAATCGATACTACAAAAACCTAATTCCGCTAGTTCTCCATTAACTATCAGAACTGCGACAATACCACAACAGAAACATTATCCAGAATAAACAAACATTATCACCAAAACACAAATAAAAAACAACAACACTTCCGGATAAAATTACCAATCCATTCCAAAATGAACTCACATATTTCAAACACTTACCAGATTATCCCTAAAAAAACACTAAAATTACAAGCACTAACAAACCATTTAACATACTGCTACTTCATAAAACTGCTCACCATTTCCATTAATCCATCCAACTCGCACTAAACTATCTTCATTCCATCTACACTATCGAAACAACAAACGCCAAACCGGATACTACACATACCAACAAACAAAAATCTTCCGACAGAAGATTCTACGCTACTTTTCCATAGATTTATAAACATCTATTCCTTCCCAAAACAAATTCCTCTGCGCCACAAAAAACACTATCAACTATGTCATAACAACGCTCAAAAATCTACACCGAATACCATTCTTTCCGATTCGACTGCTTTTACACTCCAAATCGTAGCAGCATTTCCCACAATATCCTTTACTTACACAATTGCCATCCACATATCATATTTACTTAACAATTCTATCTTAAAACCTACCAATTCTCCATAATGTGTTCTACAAAATATCGCTAACCAACAACCTCTTCCAGCCCCACTTCCGATATGAGCTTCTGCAATCCATTCGCCCAATTCTCCAACAAAAACAACAAATCAGTTCACAAATACTTGCCATAAAACTATAACTGTTCCAAAACAAGCCTACTATCACTAGCACAGCTTCCATATAAACACACAACACATTAATCCGACCGCATGCTATTATAACTACAACTACAACACCGTTTCCTTAATTTACTTTCACTATTATCAAACTCACCATACTGAATTCACTCCTTTCATTTGAAAACACGATTTATATCAGTACAATTGAAAGATCAAAATTTTTATTGTGGTAACTCGAACACACACACATGGAGGCGTTTGTCGAAATTCTTTTCGAATTCCGAATTTGTATCTTATTTTTCATTTGAATTTTTCTGAAATCGAATCATCCTGAAACAGATATATCCCACTTGATAATATTTTATCAGTGCAACTAAAACACAACAATTTGTATTGCCGTAACTGTAACACACCCATATCTCACACTTCCATACCCACACCAAGACGTACACCCTCTTTGCTTAACTTTCGTTGAACTCTCTCAACATTGCAGATTTAAGGATTGAATTGCAGCACTATTTAATAGCCGAACTTACCTGATGAAGGCTCTTAAGCAAGGTCTAAACCGGTCGTAAGTATAGCTTGTGCTATTAAAAACGAAATTCATTTGTATACACACCCACACCGAACAAGAAAAACTCGATAGAAGATATAATACCAAAAAGTTTTGAGATTCCACCTGATGACGCTCGGACAAAACAGAAACAAACGCCCATTTGTCGTGGAACGGTCAAATTTCTATTCACCCAAACCCCAAATTTCACACAAAAGATTTTGGATTTCTCTTATTCTAGATCTAAATCATATCACTTCATCATTCTAACACAACACTCGACTTAACGTTTTACTGAAACAAAATTCATACAGAACAGTCAGGTAATCATACATGTATCACTCTTTTTTTTTCTTGGGGAGATTTAACAAAGTGATTGTTGTTCGTTTTTAGGGATGGATACTATCAAGGACAATGGTAATAATGAAAAGAATACTGTTCCAACAAGTCAGAATATGGAAAACAAAGATTTGAATGGTTTCAATATGATTGAATCACGACTTCATGAATATGGACAAAAAGTATGAGAGATAGTTTTTTTTTTCTAACTAAAGTGCAATCATATTGCTTGGAATATGCATAGAATCAAACTTCTATAGAACACAATAGCTATAATGAGAAGAATAGCATGAATTGTATGTCGACAATATTAGAAGATGATAGTGATGACAGCGAAGAATGGATTTCCATTGATGATGATAATGATGATGACAATGATAGTGAAGATGAAGATAATAAGTTAACCTATCATCATAACGAGCCAGAAGAATTAAAAGACCTGGACTGGAATGATTTACCGAATTTTATTCGACGTAAATCCATCGCCAATAATATTATTATTAGATTACCATACAAGGGTACTCAATTTTACTTAGGTTCTGAAAAAGATTTTCAACAAAAAGAAACCGATTATATGAAACGAACAGGTGCTTACAAATTGATAGATAAACTAGATGGAATTCATCGAACTGCTAGTCAAACATGTCTAGCCGATATTGTCGAACAAGTAGAAATCAAATTGGATAATTTACTTGATTCAAAATGTATCGACGAAGTACACTATATGAAAATGAATATTAGTCGATTATCGGTTCGAATGCATTATCTTTATTTTGTACCAGAAATTCACAAAGTATGTGTTATACTGCTCTTTTATTTTGTTTCTATTATGATTTGTAATGAAAACTATGTAGGAAGGAATTCCAGTTCGACCAATTATGATATGTAATGATGGACCAACAATGAACATAGTTCGTTATATAACTCCTATTCTATGGTCTATTTTTGATCGAGCAACTAATTGCAGACGATTTTCAAATGGTGCTGTCGATGTTATACATGCCATTGAACATTATGCTCAAATAGGTCATCTTATACCTCGAACTCTCTTCGTAACATTTAATATGGATGAATTGATGACAGTTTTCGACATGATGAAACAATAGCAACCTTAAAAAGTTTACTTGTCGAACAATTACCAGATCAGATGATAGATGGTCTTACTATTGATACTATTCTAGAATTAGTTCATTTTGTTTTGAAAAAACAATTTGTTGTTTATAATTATGCATTGTATCAACAAATTCATGGTGGTGCTTCTGGTTTACCACTAACTATGTTCTTGACCTTTATTAACGTGTTTTATGGTCAACATCGAGATCTTGTAAAATCATTGAAAGAAAAAAATGAATTTTTTGGCAGGTATAATTCTTAGATAGTTTATCCTACAGTTATGAGTTATTTTGTCGGTCATTTCTTTTGATAGATATCGAGAACAAGCAATTATAACATGGCATGGATCCGAAGGTCAATTTCGTACATTACTCAAGAAAAGTATTGGTATTGAACATACTCGAAATCTGGTAACAATATCTATTGGATCAAAAGTTCATTTCCATGATCTTGAAATTAGCTATAAGAATAATGGTGGTATTCTCGAAAGTAAAGTTTATTATGATTCAGCTATTGATACTTTACCCAATGTATCCGATAAACCAATGGAAAACCAATCAAAACAATTATATGCTGTTCTCTATCGAGCTGTTCGATGTTCTTCTGATGTTGAAACTTTTCATCATGAACTATGTCATATTCAATTATCATTTCTTACATCGGGCTTCACATCAGAATTTATTCATTCTAATATCGAACGTTTTTACCAAGAATTTGGTATACAAGAAAAATTCTTCTCATTATTTTTGAATGATGATGATGAATATAATAATTTACGTCAACGTATTATACAAGACGTTGAACAACAAATGAAATTGAAACAACAACGTGAAGAACAAAAAAAATATACATTATTCGTACCATGTCCACGTTTTATTCATCAAGAAAGTCGTGATATTTTCAAGCAAGGTTTTCAAGATTTGTGGAAGAAATATTTTGGTAATGAATCACAAACGAAACATGTACAAATCAAATGGATAGAACGAACAACAACTCCTCTAGCAAAAAGTGATTTTCTGATCAACAAACGACCACCACTTCGTCTGTTAACTTTATCGAAAAGTGAAGTCAATAAAAAGAGTTCGTATTACTTGATTTTCAATTGTTTCTTTTCGTCAGTAATCATATTTTATTGTCATTATTTTTTTTTTGTTCTGTAGGATATCATCCTATGGATCGTCTTTAATAAATTGCATCCACCAATACTACATGGATGAATGAACATTATTTGTTTTAATTGTCTTACTCGTAGAAGTAGTTGATGCGTGTCATAGAATAGTCTTAGTATCGAATAGATGATTTGAACAAGAAAAAAAACCAAGCGTTTTTTGTTTCTAATATCCGATCGTTTAAGCTGATGTTAACTGGTTTGCTCTCTTTTTAGATATATTTCTATTCATTGTGATTTTTTACGTACGAGGACGATGACTCAAATTCATGAGACAACACTGAAAATAAACCCAGTTGATGATAAAATCATCAGCATGGCAGGAGACGAATAAATAATGGTAAGAAGAATGATTAGAAGACAAAAAAAAATGATAGTATTGATGATCTTCTTATTCTATTATGTTTAGAAACTTCCATTCAATAATATCATTCCTAAGGCCAATTCCAAGAAGCATAAACACAATACATCGACAAAAATTGAGAGACATTTAAGTCAATCATGGAGTCGATTGTCGATTTCACAAGGATGTTCAAAAAAGAGAAAGAAAAATGTTCAATCCAGCAGTGTTTCATCAAAAATGATACGTGAACTGAATGATCAACCGAAGATATCAACAAAAAATTTTAAATCCACATTCATATCTCAATATTTGAAAGTATCGAAACGAAAATTTAAAAAAATATTATCAAAATCAGTTCATGATGGCCATAAAACTTACAAATGGTTAGACAATGCTCCAAAAATTAAAATCTACACGTCAATTAGCTCAAATATATTTGAAGTTCGGATTGAATGGCAGCATTTTAAAAATTTAATAACCGAACTTATCTGAAGATGACCCTTAAGCAAGGTCGAAACCGGTCGTAAGTAGCTTGTGCTATTAAATAAATTCTATACACACCCCTATTATATGTAATTATAAACTATCTGACAAGAAGGACATTGGTCTTTTTAATAAACATTTTAGACTTTTCTTATTTCATGCCTTTTTTGTTAATTTCAAACCTATTAAAATAGAACCACTTCTTCTTGTGTCAATATTTGTAGATATTTACATCATTTTAAAGATTTTTCTGTACTTTTATCAAGGGATGAGTCTAGCACAAGGAAATGTGAGTGGAACCATGTTGATTTTACAGAATACATAAGCGTTATTTCTATTTTAGATTAAAGATATTTTTCAGGAATTTCATGATGATTTTGATGCAGATGACGAGACAAATATTCAATTCGATAAGAGACGTAGGCGATTCGTGAAAGAATATGATGATGATTTATTTGATATTGAGCAATGTCCAGAGGTAGAACAGATTTTACCTGGTTTAACAGTTGGTGAACAAGAAAAACAACAATATTTATCTGGAAAGTTAAGTCACCTATCAGCTACACATCAAGAATCCGAAAGTACTACTCGAGCAGCCGATGTACTATCGCGAATAAAAACAGATAACGTCGTCATCTCCAGTCAATTGATACCAAAATATTTATCACATGAAAGTAAAGAATTCGATCGGATGATCCTCGGTCTCCGTCAACAAACTGGCACTATTATTTATACGGAAGAATTATGAACTATTGCATTTCTCATTGATCAACTTCAACGTATTAAATTAGAAAAACATCTTTATACGACATATTTACGTTCTGGTCAGGGTACATTAGTACAAAATAAAGAACCGTCGCTACTATTGTGGTCTACCGAGCTGAAATTAAAAATAATTGCAGAAAATCAAACGAAAGCCACGCATCCGAACGAAATCTGTCAGGATGAGTGTGTAAAATACGTAGAGAAAATTCTAGAGAAATATAGAATTAAAATGTCCGACTACCAAAATCAATGGGAAGAGAAAAAGCGACATTTACGCAATCGCTGGACAAGTAGAATTGAAGAAGCGATTACGAAATTTATTCAAGATTATAAGATTATTCTATATCAAATACCTATTGAAAAAGAAATCATCCGTATTGAATATGATTTCTTTGATCGATTATTCGAACTTGAATTTTATAGTGGAAATTCAAATGTGTATCAAGTAAGTTTTGGAACAGTATAAAACATTATATTTCCTAGTTATCTTCTTCTATTTAGAAACAACTATTTCAATATCTTACACAAAAGAAATTTGATATGGAGAAATCCAAACTAGAACTTGCTCTATTAAAACAGCGTATCACTCATAATCATCT